TCATAACTTCGTTAATTTCTTTTATTTACTTACCCTCCCCTGTTTCGTTTTATTAATTTAGATTTAATTTAAAACGATTTTTTAAAACTTCTTTTCTTTTTATTTATTTTGCCACTTTTCTTTGGAACTTATTTTATTTTCTTTATTTTAATTTTCTTGTCTTAGACTTACAATCTTATACTTTCAGGTACATCTTCCAGCCCAGCTATCAAACAAAAACCACCCCAGCAATGGGCCAAGTCATGGATCGTCTTTGTAAGGACGCTTTGAAGAATGGTAGGCATTTATTAATTTTTTTGGTAAATAGCTTTCATTAAAATCATTCCTTAGTTATTATTATTAATATTACTTTCATAACTCTATTATCATCTTTTATTTACTTACCCTGACTTATTTATTTTGCCACTATTGTTTGGAACTTTTATATTATACTTACAATCTTTTATTTTCAGGAACATCTTCCAATCCAGTCATTGAACAAAAACCACCCCTGCAATAGGTCAATTCAAGGATCGTCATTATAAGGACACTTTGAAGAATGGTAGGCATTTATTACTTTCTTTGTTAAATAGCATTCATTAAAATCGTTCCTTAGTTTTTATTTATTTTATTACTTTCATAACTTCGTTAACATCTTTTATTTTCTTACCCTGCCTTGTTTCTGTTTATTTCTTTAGATTTAATGTTAAACGATTTTTTAAAATTACTTTTATTTGTTTTGCCACATTTCTTTTTATTTTTTTTATTTCAACTTTCTTGACTTAAACTTTAGATCCTTATGTTGAAGAATTTTATGAAATCATATACTCTTTCAGGCACATCTTCCATCCCAATTATCATACAAGGAGCACCCCTACAATGGACCAATTCGATGATCGTCTTTATAGGGACATTTCGAGGAATGGTACGTATTTAATTATTTCTTTGCCTATAAAACACTTTGTTTTCTTAAGTTTATATTCATTTACAACTTTTCTTAATTTTTATTAATGTACACTACCTTTTAATTATTTACTTTGTCCTCGTTTTAGATCCTTATGTTGATGAATTTTATGAAATCATATACTCTTTCAGGCACATCTTTCAGACCAGTTATCATACAAGGAGCACCCCTACAATGGACCAATTCGAGTATCGTCTTTATAGGGACATTTCGAGGAATGGTACGTATTTAATTATTTCTTCGCCTATAAAACACTTTGTTTTCTTAAGTTTATATTCATTTACAACTTTTCTTAATTTTTATTAATGTACACTACCTTTTAATTATTTACTTTGTCCTCGTTTTTTATTTAGTTTTATCTTTTTTTAGCATGTTCTTGTTATTCACCATGTAACACTTTTCTTGACTTAAACTTTTTATTAGATCCTTTTAATTTACTTTAACACTTTTCTCTAATACATATTTTAACTTTCTTAATTTAGACTTATTTTTAATCCCCTGTGTTGAAGAATTTTGTCAAACCTGATATTGTTTCAGGTACATCTCCCAGTCCAGCCACCTAACAGGGACCACATCAGCAATTCCAGCCACTTCCAGGATCGTCGGGATGCGCTTCAACAGGGGTAGGCTTATTTTATTGTACTTTTCTCTTTTATTAGTTTAGTTTTTCTGATCTTTACTTTCTTTTCAATTATTTTCACTTGATAACATTAGCTTTTCCCAGGAAATACTAATGTTTTTAATTTTTGTTTTAATCTTTAACGTTTTTCACCTTTTCTACTTATTTTGATTAAAACTTTTCTTTATTGCTTGCTTCTTTATATCTTTTTTTGTTTCTTTTATTAATTATGTATTTATATTTATTAATTTCTTTCTTAAACAATAATCTTTAAAATCTTTTCTTCGTTTTTATTTATTTTAATACTTATTTTGTATCTTAGTTAAT